TATATATATATATATATATATATATATATATACATTCTACTAATATCTAATCAAACCTACTGTTGAAATTCCTATTGTTGTATTAATTTACTTTGGTTTAATTACCACTGAGCACTCTGTTGATGATATATGCAAAATATGCAATATACAGAAATGCTGATAATATATCAAAAATATGATTTAGATATAAGAATGGTAGAATGTATAAATATACAAAGATTTTAAGAACATTAACGGCATTGAAATTCGGTGTTCCTGTGGCCATTTTCACCTATCCTGAACGTATTATCACCTGTGTATGTAGCACAGCGTAAATTCTTAAATTGCAGAGAACCGCGTGACATGAATTAACGCGACTACGGAAATGGTGGACAAGGTGAATTTTAGCACAAAAACACGATATTTTGTCTAGTATAGGCCCAGGGTATATTCGTGATGTACGTATCAACAAAACTACTAAGGTAGGCCTAAGTATTAAAGGAAAACCTGTATAACTTGCAATATTTTGAGATTTTTAAGTTCCGTTACTTGATAATACCAGTCAATTTCCATGTAGGTGTGCATGGCCATGGTGTAAATACACTCGGTCGGACGCTGGGGCTTTTTCGACAAGACTTTTAATGTATTTTTTAAGTATGCATTTTTATATAATTGTAAGCTTCAGTGTAAAGTAAAATTGACAAAAGCATGTTGGACTAATACATTTATATATCTTATAATACATGGATGATAGTTGTTTCAGCGTTATTGTGGCCATTTTCACTTAATATTCTGCATATACCTGTATAAACCTTGTCAAAAATGCCAAAAGAACCACGTGAAGTAATGGCGGATATGGTCGATAGGATGTATTCTAGCAGAAAACTCCATACTGATGAGAATTTCTGTGATGTTTTGGACTACCGTATATCAAGAAAACTACTAAGCTAAGTGAACAACGTGTTGTGTCAACGTGAGGCGCTATATAAATCCAGAATTATTATTATTATTATTATTATTATTATTATTATTATTATTAAGAGTCATAATCAAATATTTGTAACTTGAATTTTATTTCAAATGCCCGTTACGCCCATGGGCGTCGATCGGTAGAGGACAGGGGACAAATGGGGCGTCGATCGATTGTCTCCCCCACCCACCCCAACACTTTTCATCAAGCTTCTATAGTTAAAACCCCATTTTTCAAAGCGAGTGGAAATAACAACAACAATTACGAATGATTGTTATGGATTTTATCTGTTAGTGCTCTGTTCAAATATATATATTTAACTTATTTTGAGATTGTAGCTTTATTTTCAGAGGACATTAGTATAATAAACTTATATTTATTAGGATAAAAGTGGATTTAATATGAAATAATACGTTTTCTTAATCGTTAAATTAGGGACAAGTAAGAACCAAATGTAATTCGTCTCCTATTTGGTTTAACGAACATAATTTACACAACCGCTCTCCTTTCTTTGTTTTGCTCCACCGCCCTTTTTCAATTTCAAGGTCTAATAATCCCAGACGTAAACAGATAATCTCAACATGAAATATTACTTTTGAATTGAACATAATAATTCGTTCTTGATGAATACATATTTTTTTAATTAAATTTCTGGTTTTACGATGTCGTATAAACGTAAAGCAACTTTAGAAAGTAGTGTGTTTTTGTCTTCGTTACTCTATGAGAACCAAATATCACCACAACCAAGATGACATAGTGGATGTTTGACATGATGCAAACAGCATATTTCATATCTTTCGATTTTTCAAAGTTAAAAATTATATCATTGAAATAAACTTTCTGATTGATCAGTAGTTATAAATGTAATCAAAATTTGATGGCATTGATGTATTAATAAACAAATAATTAAAATCTTCCAAGTACGCCTGGAACAGAATAATTTGGAGCTGTCCAACACCTGAAATATATTTGCAAAAGTTTGAGTGAATACGTTCGATAATATGCAAATTGTTTGGTGTTCCCCAAACTTCACTCCAATATGATGGGCAAAACTTTAGCATAAAAAATAGTATTCCATACATTATTATGAAGACAACCGAACTTAAATAAATTGCGCTTTAAAGAAAAAAGTGCTTTTTTGCTTTATGCTATTGATTTCTATTGCTTTCGTCCAGGTGCCAGGTGAGTAAAATACAACGCCTAAATATTTAAATAACTTTTCAGTTTCGATCTAATTGGAGCTATAGTACCATTTTTCAAAACGTACAAATATATTACCGTACTTCTTCTTCCTTCGGCTTCTCCCTTCAGGGGTCGCCACAGCAAATAAGTCGTCTCCGCTTCGTCCTGTTCATCCCACTTCGTCCTGTTCATCGCATCATCCTCATTCACACCTATTTCCTTCATGTCCTCCGTATCACGTCCATATACCTCCTACCTGGTAGCTCCATTTCCAACATCCTCCTTCCGATGTACGCCATGTCTCTTCTGCATACATGGCCATACCTTTCAGCCTCGCCTCTTTCAACTTGTCCCCAAATCGTCTTACATGAGCAGATCCTCTAAGTCTAATGAATACATTTCTGATATTATCCTTTCTTGTTACACCAAGGGAGAAGCGTAGCATCTTTAATTCTGCAACCTCCATCTCCTCCTCCTGTCTTTTGGTTAGGGCCACGGTCTCCAAACCATACGCCATAACTGGTCTTACCACTGTTTTGTAGATTTTCCCCTTCATTTTCGCCAACACCCTTCTATCGCAGATCACACCAGTTTAACCGTACAAATATACTAGTGAATAATATTATCTGCATACATAGATTAATGTTTTCCTAATTTTCAAAAATTATAGTTAATCAATTGAATTTTATACAGTGGTGTCACACTCGGGCGCTGACGGAGGGCGGAGCGCTAGGGCCCCCAGGCACGAAGGGCTCCGACATTGTAGTTTAAAAAAACAATATAAACCATAATACAATAGTTTCATTCAATGGGGCCCTGACAGTTTTAAACATTGAAAATATGCTGCCTGGCATCATCATACAGAAACCCGTCAGGGCTCATGTAAATGATCGCTGCAGTTGTTTGTTTATGTTGCGGTTGGTCTTGCGAATCACATTTGATCGATGTCGCGCGCGTGAAACAAGCATGGTGTCTTTTGATTTACCGACTGTTCTAGTACGGGAATTTATATTGCGCATTTTCCTTTCGGTTGTAAAGCGCACGCCAAATCATCAAGCTCAGGGAAAAACTCAAGGCAGAATGTAATACAGGTCCATTAAACAGAAATCACAAGCGCCACTATATTATTGTCAAAACAATTAACAAAAGCAAAATACACAACTGACACAACATAAAAAAAAAATTGCAACCTATGCGCAAAATAATACGCAAAGTAACAGGGAACACAACCAGAACAAGACAATACAGAAAAAATGATACTTTGTGAAATCCTGAGGAAAAAAAAAAGCAAAACCTGCAGAAACACCACCAAATGTCGCCCAGCCCATAAGCTTAGAGATATAACTTGGCTGCTTCTCCAGTGCCTGGCTGATTATCTGATAGTAAGAAAAAGTTAAAGCCTGTCATATTCCTTATCATGTTTTTGTACGTTCTCACTAAAATTATTCTCTGTATTTATTTACACCTACATAGAGTACATAGACCTATACCAGTTCCGAAAGTTGGTCTGTGTAAGCTATGTTGGTTTTGTCCTAAAATTGTCTGAAATATTTCGTCAGTCATGGACCATCCTATGTTCTTTGACAACGCAACAGTTCACAGATGCCCAAGCTCTGAGCGCAAAGCAGCTCCCTCGCACCCCCACCTTGGCCTTCATCCTCTGGACTCCGACCGGGGCCCTAGGCGGCCCCCTAGCCCCCAGTGTCTGTTTGTTCGCTCCGCTCGCAAACTTGACTCCACTGATTTTATATAGGCCTAGCCGTTACTAAACAATAATTATACAGTCTTTGACACGGATAGGTCTATCTATTTAAGTAGTGATATCACAAGTTTACGAACAATGTTACGTTGACGTAATTTCGCCATGACGTCATGATAATAAATTAAGTAAATCACCTTTGTGTTTGTGAAATAAAAATGCTAACTAATGTTTTGTATGCTTCTATCTCCATAGTCCTGTTTAATCGTAAATTAGACAGTAGTAGGTCTATAGGCCTATTGCTCAATAGTGTAGTCGCAATATTACTTGCACAAAAAATAAAATTCAAAAAGGGGAGAAAAGGAAAAACCTCTTAGATTGATTTTAAGTATTTAAAGTGTTTTATTTTATATATATGTATATAGGCATAGAAATAATTCATGATTTTAGAATTAAGCATAACCCGTTAAACCCGATTTTTAAGAATAAATAATACTGACATCGAACAGGTTAATGCGTGTACAAATACTTAGTTTGCATTGTTGATAAAGTATATAGAAAAAGCTAACCAAAGGCTTTACTTTGCACGTAAAATGAAAGTTTTAGGTGCCGATAGCGACACCGAACGCATTTGTCTCTTCTTCGAATCAGTTGTTCGTAGCGTCATGACTTAAATAATTGGGATCGAACTTGCTGATTTTAAATCATTGTATCAGACCCGAGTACTAAATATGCATGTAAAGGAAGACGAAACTCATATACTGTCCCAGCTGTACTCAAAGCAGATCTGGTCTTAGGCTCAACACTCACCGTAAACAACACAAACCATCTGCGTAATTCTTTTATCAGTGATCGATATTCATATTTTGAATTATTTTCATAGAAAATAATAATAATTATATAGTATTACGAGTACTGTATGATGTTTATAATAATTAAAATAATAATAATAATATTAATAAAAATAATATTTTTATTATTATTATTATTTAATAATAATAATAATAATAATAATAATAATAATAGTGTGAACCGTAACCCTATTATCTTATATTTAAATTTTAATGTTTTTCTTTTGTTTTAATGGTGAAAGATAATAAAGTTCATTCCTATTAGATTAGAGTGATTGTCTTAATATTATATTTCATGGTTCGAATACGTCACAGGCTAATCAGTAGATAATAAATCATCATTTTTATGAATGTTAGTTTGCAAAAAATATATAAGATGGCATGATTATGATTACCAGGATAAATTGAAAAACTTTTTATTAGTAGTATTTCAGTGGAAAATTCAAGGGAGCCCAGTCGGCCCACCCTCCCTATTTTCAAAAATTAAAAATGGAGAAAAAAAGAAATTATATTCAAATTAATTTCAAGTCTGAGAGTGCACAATAGAGGTGTCATATAATAATATATTTTCTTACCTCGGCCTCAAACATTCGTAAACCCTGAGCCGCCGTGCCCACAATTATGTAGTTTCTACGCATGCGCTAGAATTTTGCACCGTAAACGGTATCAAGATTGTAAAAAGAAACTCAATCTATGACTAATATTTCATTTTTATTTAATTTCATTTCATTTATTTCGTCTTCGACACAGACATAACAAAGAACAGACACTTTAGGAGGAAGACGGGATTGTCAAAAAAGTGAATTGAATCAACTATCAAGTGAATATATGAACGAAGAGAGAGAAAAAAATTAGACAATCTTTAACATTCGGAGGAAGGTAATTGAATAAACGTGGAAATGAATTAAATATATGGAAATGAGCAGCATTTGTTCTGGACACACTATGTACACATTTTAAATGACTAACATGACGCAAGTTCTGGTTAATGTACCCATCTATTGAAATATCAATTTTCTTATAAAATACATTGGCGTTATAAGAAATTCCTAAAACCCTGTATCTATTTTTAAGGCTCATATCATGCCGAGGTGCTGAAGACGGGTTTCGGTTGAATAATAATTTTGGATGGAAGGCTTAGGAAAACATAATCTTGTGACCCTACGTTGAACTTTTTCTAGATCCTTAATGTGTTGAATCGATGGCTGACAAAGACACCAAGCCGGCACACCATATTGCAGTAATGGACTGACTAGACTTTTATAAAGTTTAGGATTGCAACATCCAAAAGTTCTGATAATAAAACCGAGAGTCTTCGATGCTTTATTTTTTATACTAGACACATGAGGCCCCCATCAAGTTTAGATGACAAGGTGACCCCCAAGTTACTTAAATTGGAAGGTTTGAAGAGAACATACATCTGTATCTGTGCTAATATGGTAAGGAGTGTTCAAAAGTTTACTTTGACTCCTAGTGATTCTCATAATTTTACATTTTCGAGCATTTAATTTCATCCCATTATTCATACTCTAGTTTAATACAGAATCTAGGCCTTCCTTTTGAAGAGAGCATACATCATTAGGAACTCTAATTGTACGGTATAACAGAGTATCATCAGCATACATTTTAACACAGGAAGATAATAAATATTAAGATCAATACAAACAAATTATAAAGTGTGGGTCCCAAAACCGATCCTTGCGGAACCCAAGTGAAGGAGAAGAAGCTCCTCTAAATACAACTCTCCGTGTCCGACCCAACAAGTAAGAAGATATTTCAAAGTAGTCCCACAGATACCGAAACTTTTAAGTTTTTGGAGCAGAACTGAATTAGGGACCTGATCAAACGCTTTAGGCCTACTCCAATCAAGGAATACAGCGTCAATACGTGGAGGGCATCGTTGATTAAGAGGTGGTACTCCAATCGTAAGTAATTTCGGATAAAACTGTTGTACATGAACGCTCTTTAACTAACCCGTGTTGATTTGAAAGTACAAGTCAAGTAAGAGCAAAAGATTTTCTCAAGCAGTTTGCAAAAAATCGAACACAGCAAAATTGGTCTAAAATTTTCAATACAATTAGAATTACCCGACTTATATACTAGTATTATATTTGCGCTTTTCCAGTCTGTTGGGAGGGTTCCACATGCAAGAGAGAGGTTAAACAACTTGGACAAGGGCTCACAAAATGTACGCAGCAAACTAACATGAGAGCATCGAGGATGTGATGCCGTCCAGCCCAGGCGCCTTACCAAACTTGAGCCCGTTGATAAGTTGCAGAACCTCCTCTGCATTTGTAGTCACTCTAGTTAAGTAAGCCCCAAAATGATCGTTGAAATTACTATTATTTTCTTCAGACAGATACGATTCATGATCATTTTGTGAAAAATTGGAGGTGAACAATTCATAAAAGAATTGGCAATAATTTGTGGATCATTAATAATAGATCCGTTGATTTGAAAAACAGTTGTGAAGGCTTTGTCTTTCCGTTCCTGACATGAGTACAAAAAGCCCTGCCATAATATTCAGATTTGTTAGATCGCCTGCTTAAGTATTCAAAGTAAGAAATCTTACATTTACTTCTTAACGGGTTTCTTATTTTATTGTACTTTTCCCATGCATAAGGAAAATTAGTTGTTTTTGCTTTTAAGACGGAAAGGACAGAAAGTGTACTGATTACACACAAATTAATTTTCGAGTCTGTAGTGATTTTTTTTCCCGCTATAACAAGGCAAATGCCAAATAATACATTTTAAGATATTTAAAACCACAATTTACCACGAATGTAAGAAAAATGTCCTAAAACTTTGCCTTGCTCTAGTTTTCCTGAGAGAGTATCGAAAAATGGCAAGAAAATTAAACCTAATGACCCTAGAAGACGAAGAAGAGCAGATTTAATTGAAGTCTTTAAATACCTGCTCCTTCGGTGATCCAGCAGCAACACTTAAAGCGTGTGGATCCAATGAGCACGGAAAAAACTGTGCTTTATAACCTCAAGGAAGAGGCGCATTATAAATTCCCATACCAGTGTCAGTACCAGTATAAATAGTGTTACTTGTAATGATTTCAATTTCATAATTTCTAGTTAGTTATTGCAGTATATTTGATATTAGATATATTTGAGGCATGCCATCCCAAAACCAGCGTACTTTTGCTCAAGGGCGTCGATTCGTGGTTGAAAGTGGGGGGGGGGGACGAAATGCAAAATTGGAAAGCCTTGGGCTGTAGGCCCAGGCCTTTGTTGGGGGCCAGGGGGCTGCCTAGGGCTCCGGTGAGGGTTCAGGTGGCGAAGCCCCGGAAGCTCTTGCGCCTATAATCTTTTTTAAGTCGTATCAAATTTATTTTAAGGAATGCATTTAACGTTTATTTCTACACTACATTTTCAGATCCAGGAATTTGAAGTAGAGCTAGGCCCAGGTTGGGACTTTCATTTTTGGGGCTGAGGTAAGGAAATTTATGATTATGGCACCTCTTTGGCCGGAAATGGCACTCACTTACAAATTTGAATATAATTTTTTTTCTCCACTTTTAAATTTAGGAAAAAAAAATAGGCTGGGCCCCTTGAATCTGCCACTGAAATTCCCACTTCTGTATTTCGTGCAAACTAATATTCATAAAAATAATGATTTATATGTACCGTATATAATTTTGTTAAATAATGAAAGTACATTTGGCGCCTCATAGTTTATATCTGGTGATATATTTGTATGTTTCAATCATGTCAATCATATTCCTTCTTTCTGTAAGTAATAGTTTCGCCTAATAACAGAGACTTAAGCACTTTCTCTGACCTTTTCTAAAAGATTTATATCTTATTTGGCTTTTGGTTTCCAAACAAACAACCGATCCATATTCTAAGATTGGTCTTATTATTGACTTGTAAAGCGGTGTAACTTTATCTTTAAAGAATCTACACCTTTGCATCTGGTTATCCTTTAAACATCACTTTATAACATTTCGGTACTGGCAGATGACTTAAAACCTGCATCAAAAGAAATCATCGTTGTTTGGCATAAATACGTATTGTCCCCTGAAAAGCGATAAAAATCATATAAAGTACTTTTGAAAATTAACTTGCTCATTTTGCACTAACATGCAAATTATTAAATTAAGCATAAAAATTATTGAATTTAAAAATATGTACCCCAATTTTAAAATGATAAAATTACGGTACTAAATAGATATTAAATTTAAAGAGTGTACGCTCGCGTGTCAGGTTAGCTGTATTTTGTATGTTTTCAAACATGGTGTTAAACCTAAAATTCAATTTTAATAGTGCATTCGTACCAAAACGTGTAAAAAACAAAAATTCCACGACCAGCCATTGTTGTATAATTAAAACCGCGGTTTAGGCCCTTGGTATGAATTTTGAAACACATTAGTGTTAGGATGCAAATAGGTAACAGGATGGGAGGGAGAATTTACTGATACATTCTGCGTGTAGGGAAGAACAAAAACCCAGTTGATTTCCGTGGATTTTTTTAAACTTAGGTTTAACAAGGTATAAAATATTAACTATAAAATAGATACATCCTCTGGTCTAGCTATATTATCTATCTGAAATTACATCAACTTTATTGTCTTTGTCTCGTTTTATCTGCTGTTCCTCATTCTCTTCCTCTTTCCTGTTCTTATTTTGTTATTTTCCTTCTTTTGTTCATAATAATTTGTATATTTGGTCTGTATTTTCCAATATTTGGTTTAGCATTGTTTACTTTGTGCTTCTGTATCATTTCTTGTAGTATCCTCCCCATCTTAGAATGTGTTTTGGTCTCTTCAATTTATTTATTCGGCCGCTATTGAATTTGCTTTCTTATTTTCATGTTTTGGTTTTGTATTCTTTCCTTATGTATCATCCTAGTAGCATTTTATTCTTCTTTAAATTCAAAACCATTTCTAAACTAATTCCTCCATGGTAGTAATCTGTAATTTGTTTGCCGATGACAGACAAATCTCTACTGCAAGATATATATTATATCAAAGAATCAATGGCACTGTAAATATCAAGTGAAATATTCTGAAGTTACCTTATGAATTAATAATTTATTAGTCTGATGTTGTTAATTATTTCTCTTTCATGCTGTTTCTCATTCATTATTAAATTTTGTTTTTTTGGCAGATTGCTGCAACAGAGCATGGCCATGTTGCAAGACAAGAAAATTACACTGACATGTATTTGGAACATCTTGAAGAGTTCGAAAAAGTAATCATGATTAAAGAAATCATTGTATCTTTAATAACAAGTTACTGGATCAAGACAACTTGCATCATTCTGAAATATTGATCATATTGTACAGAGAAGATATGATCGAATTACAATAAGATGAGGAAGATGAACCAGAACTACTGTAATTATTTTTTCTAATATAGGCTGTGTAATTGATTATGTCTAATAGTTTGCAAGACAATTAAGAGAAGATATACTGGAGTTTAGTTCAACATTTTTCTGAATATTGAGATAGCATTATCACAGTAAAAGAAAATATTGATCATATTGTACAGAGAAGATATGATCGAATTACAATAAGATGAGGAAGATGAACCAGAACTACTGTAATTAATTTTTCTAATATAGGCTGTGTAATTGATTACGTCTAATAGTTTGCAAGACAATTAAGAGAAGATATACTGGAGTTTAGTTCAACATTTTTCTAAATATTGAGACAGCGTTATTACAGTAAAAAAAATATTGATCACATTGTACAGAGAAGATATGATCGAATTACAATAAGAGGAGGAGGATGAACCAGAACAACTATAATTAATTTTTCTAATATAGGCTGTGTAATTGATTATGTCTAATAGTTTGCAAGACAATTAAGAGAAGATACCGGAGTTTAGTTCAACATTTTGCTAAATTGTAACAGCGTTATCACAATAATAATAATTTAAAAAAAAAACAAAGAGCGATTGTATTTTTATCGGAATATCGAAGGAATTTAACAAATTATTTTTAATGAAAAGTTATTACCGCATCAAGTCAGCTTGCATCATTGTAGAATATTAAACCAAGAGAGACAATTTCCTGTAATTAATTTTTCATATAGGTTATGTACATTTATATAAATTCATATTACAGTTTTTATAATAAAAAAAATAAGAGTAATGTGGTGTTGGCTGGTCGTGTCTGAAGTCTTGATAAGCAGGTAAAGCTCAGTTTCGATAAAAATCGCTACACGCTATCGCCAGCTCATTTGGCAACGCTGATTGGTCAGTTGAATCAGGCGCGTTCCCGATTGCGCAGTGCAAGGATTACAAAGAAAACTCTGTAGCGGTTGTGTAACAATTGTATGGAAATCGAGATTCAGACCAAATAAGCAACCCTCGTTTTCTATTTTCCCTCAATTGTTATTAAAGTAGTGCTGAATAGTGCCCTCTAATAGAAAAACAACATTTCCAGGGTCTCTAAATTTTCTGTTTAAATGGGTTCCCTGTGGTGATGGAAAGCGCCCCCAATAGCCATTCTATTTCTACGTTTTTCAGGGGCTCTTTAATTTCTATACAAGGATGGTAAAATGTGCCCTATGATTGTGGAGTTCTGAAAAACTTGGATTTTAAAGGGTGCTTTTCTCTAACATTGACAATTAAGAGACCCTAAAGAACTTAGGGTAAAAAGGCGATTTAAGGGCGCTTTTCTTCACTATTTTTAGCAGAACTCCACAAACTTAATATCTCTTTATTGATAAAGATGGTGTCTTGGGCTTATCTTTATCACATTCGTTGTCCTTTATAAGTAATATGGAAATATTTTTGTCTGGGTTTAACAAATTTCGATTATTCATCATTACAAGTTGTGCACCAGATAACAAGACCCAGATTCGTAATAATACATTTCATAGAATGTCAATTTAAAGAAAAACCAAAAAAACGTATAAATCTACAATTTAAAATACGAACGGAAGTTAAGAAGCCCCAAGCTGTAAAGTGTATACCAACGTTTCTTTAGCCAGATTCAGGTCTTTAATGGTTTCAGCATTTAGCGAGTCACTTGGAATGTATGTTTTTGAACAGAAAGCAGCCATGTCAGTGCGTGCCTCTCTCGGGGGAAATTGCCAATGCCTTCAATGCCTAACAAACCAGTCAATAAAATAAGCATATATGATGACAGAATTCTCATTTAACTATTGAATTAACGATGCAAAATGTTCAATATTGTACCCACATTTGCTATTATTTGTAAAGTCTTCTTCATAGTCCTTCAGTTCCAAACACAGTATTGTTTATGTAAAACGCCAAAACTCAATTCCCTTATGATGATAAGGATGATGATGGTGAGGATACTAGTAGTGGTTATGAATTTGATAATTATGATGATGATGACGACGATGGCGATGATGGCGATGATGGCGGTGATGATGGTGATGATGATGATGATGACTATGATGATGACCATGATGATGATGATGTTGATGAATTTTATGGTGATGATAGTGATGATGATGATGATGATTGTGGTGATGATGATGATGATTATAGTGGTTTTGAGGATATTGATGATGTCGATGATTATGATGGTCTGATGACACTGATGAATATGATGGTGATGGTGATAATTGTGATGCTGATGATGATGATGGCGATGATGATGATGATTATGGTGGTTTTGAGGATATTGATGATGTCGATGACTATGATGGTACTGATGATGACGATAATGATGATGATTATGGTGGTTATGAGGATATTGATGATGATGATGATGATGATGGTGATGATGATGATGATTATGATGATGATGATGATGATGATGATGATGATGATGATGATGATTATGGTGGTTATGAGGATATCGATGATGTCGATGATTATGATGATTATGATGGTACTGATGAATATGATGGTGATGGTGATGATTGTGATGATGATGATGGCGATGATGATGATGATGATGATTATGGTGGTTATGAGGATATTGATGATGTCGATGATTATGATGGTACTGATGATGATGATGATTATGGTGGTTATGAGGATATTGATGATGTCGATGATTATGATGGTACTGATGATGATGATGATGATGATGATGATGATTATGGTGGTTATGAGGATATTGATGATCATGATGGTGATGAGGATGCTGATGATAATGATGCGGAGGTTGATGATGATGAAAAACTATCTGCACGTATGTATGACAATGGAACTACTCAACCCCCAGGCAGCTTCCGTTTCACAATACAACTGAATTTTCTCTCTCTCACCAGCCAAATTCCTTGTCGCTGCGCTAAATTGCTAAATTATGTTATTAGTAACATCATCATCATCATCATCATCATTCTTTTTTATTATTATTATTATTATTATTATTATTATTATTATTATTATTATTATTATTATCATTATTATTATTGTTACCGTATTATTAATATTACTATTATTATTACTATTATTATTATTATTATTATTATTATTATTATTATTATTATTATTATTATTAACATCATTAATGTTGCCTTCCTCGTCCCGTTGTTTTTCTCTGTCAAAAACGAATAAACAATCATCATCATCATCATTATCATCATCACCATCATCATCATCATCAGCATTATCATTATTCTTTTTATTATTATTATTATTATTATTATTATTATTATTATTATTATTATTATCATTATTATTATTATCATTATTATCATTATTATTATTATTATTATTATTATTATTATGATTATTATTATTATTATTATTATTAACATCATTATCGTCTCCTTCCTCGTCCCGTTGTTTTTCTATGTCAAATACGAATAAACAATCTTCATCTTTACGTTCATAATTTTATTCATCTTATTCAAAAATATTGTTTACATCAAGATCACATTTTTAGAAAAAAAACCAAACAAATCGTGTAAAACTGTTTTTTAAATACAATGCATAGTACATTGAAATACAAAATAACACATCTATTCGTTGTTTATTATTCGTTCATTTATAACTTTTTCTTTTTTAGAAAATAATTTAAATTCTGTACAAAATGACGTTTACAAAAGTAGAAAAGGCAAAAACTGTTGGTTAGGAAGCTCATAATTATTTCTGTGGCTTGTGTTCATAACAATAAGAAAATCGATAAAATTATATCACCACTGATGATAATAGGGATTTTTCGCAAGCTTAAGAAAACGATGACGAATACGGTTACGTCATCAATTTCTTAGACACCTTCCCTACAGTAGCATATATCTGTAGGCGATTCATGCCTTGCATGAATCTTGGATCACATTCGGCTCACTACATACAGCATACTGTCAAGAATGTTTTAGACACGAATGACGATAACGATAATAACGTATTCGTTATCGTTTTCGTAATCTTGCGAAATCTGTCTACTATACAGTAGATGATTGATAGTTTATCGTTAATGCTTTTAATTATATCACTTATACAGTTACACCACTGTACCATTTTTCCTCTATATAACTGCAAACTCCTAATGCGGCGACGCAGCAGACAAACATGTTAGTCTTATTAACATGTGAACATTCACAGTAAAGAACATGTTTTATTGAACGGTAAAATTATACCATTATAAAACAGATACTTTTTTATTTAGCAATATCCTTGATACCATTGCGATGCTTAAATTTTTTTTTCGTATGGAATGCCTAATTATTATTGCACCGATAATTTTCCCAAAACCGATTCCATCGCAGTGGAATCCAATAGCACACAACGTAGCAAATACGGTAAATGATCCCCCACCCCGAACCCAACCCACCCATAACCAAAATACCATATGCACTTATTATTGTTCCTTTATCATAATGGAGGTAATCATTTTAATTTAGACTGTCCCGGTAGCTCATCAAAATAGTCTCTATTATAAGTACTAATCATCACTACCCACTCCCCATCCCCATTTACGCTAATAATCGGTTAATTAAAGTGATATCTTTGTTCCATTTCAATATACATCAATGGTACTTAGTACAACTAATGCATATACTGAAACGCGGTGTATAATTAACATTAATAAGCGATAGTTTTGGTCCCCTTAATCAGCCCTAAACTTCCACTGCGTTTGGTCCCCTTAAACTTCTCTGTTTGTCGAGTACATTCTATGGCCTATCAGCTTTGGTCCCGTTACGGATCAGCCCTAAACCTTACTACATTACTTCTACTTTGTTTGGTCCCTTTAACCTGCCCTGCTCTGTCGAGTAGTATATGGCCTCGATCAGATATTAAACTTAAGCAAACTAGCGTACTCTTTCAAGACTTTCCCTCTCCACTGTGATGTAGCAACAAATGGCTCCGAAAATGGCTCTAAAAAGGGGACTGGAACTAAATGGCCCCACTTGGCATAGGTCAAATCATTATTTGACACATTTACTTACAGCAGGGATCTAGATTATCAGCATTTTGATCATAAACATGACAATGATGGTAAGGAAATAATTGCAGAATTTTTAATTTAAATGTATAAGGCACATAATAACTAATTATATTATTACAAAAATCACAGCAATGGGGGTGGGGGACGGGCATTCTTACAGCAATAATGGGCATTTTACATAACTATAGACAATGCCAACTGGAGCCACTTTAACATGGTCATTTTTTCTAGAGCAATTTTCAAGGGGCCAATTTTTACGCATAGGCCTACCTAATTAAAATATCATCACTGTAGAAATCATAATCAACATTATTTTACATTCGTATTTTTGACGGACCATGCACTTTCTATTAAAATTTACAAACGCATCATATTTTATACATGATATGCACACTTTCCTCATTAACCTAATTTTGTGTGACCAAACCGCTATTATTATCACCAGTATGACTCCTATCTCATTCCTAATGACAAAAGCATACCGTACCCTAAATAAATAATATCTGACATATTTCATTAGGTACGTCATCACCAATGTTTAAGTTGTGGTAAATCCCATGAGCCGTTTGTCTGTAACAAAATAATTATGACGTCAGTCAGATTTTGAGAACTATTCAACAGCTGTGTCCATGATTTTTTTTCTGTATACGATCAAAACAAAACACGCGCCAATTATTGTAATGTTCCGTTATATTCTACCACTTGATGGAACTTTTCACTAAAAGCGAATTTGTATTCGAAGCAAGGTCAGGCGTATATTATCATCTGGTACCGTTGCTAATCCCGTGACCTACTAATTAAAACTGATTTTATTTCATTGTTCATGTCCTTGTAGAGGAACGTTGCCGTCTTATTGTAAACCATTTAATAAGCCATCTCCGTCCCCCAGGGCCTGTACGGCTTAGCGACGACCGGCGCATGCGTTGCGACGTGGGATGGGTTGCTGGTTGGACTGAAGCCTGTAGGCGAGAGCATTGGCAGTGAGTTGTATGGAATCGGGTACTGGGTGTGTACTGATGGAATCGAACCTGGTACGCTGGTTGCTGCAAAGTGTGTGGACCCGGAATTTGAGGTGACGGGCAGGGCAGTCGTAGATGGTGGCATGGCCAGTCTGGTATGGCAAGTTTGGTGTCCCGAATCGGCGGTAGAGCTCGTGATCATCGGAACCATTTGTCGGTTTGACTCTGATGCTGGGGTGTGGACAGGTATATGGTGATCACCGTGCTGCGGAATGACTGTCGTTGACTGATGATGTGTAACTTGATATTGCGAGTGGGTGAGATGGTTGTGAGGGTGGTTAGACACGGTATTCCAATGTTGGCGCGTTTGTAGCTCCCTTTGAGCGGTATAGCACTGGAGGTGGCTCATCAAACGAAGGCGTAGTGGATCTTGTATGTCCATACATTCTACCGTCACAAGGTAACGTGCCACCTCTGAAGCACACTCTCTAAACCCAATACTTCTGTAATCGGCTCCGTAAGGGTTGTCACCATACGGGTGAAACGAACTGTCTAGACCTGGAATATGAAATATATACCACATTATAGAGCATAAGAAAAGAATAACCCCGAACATTAGTACAACACAAAACACAACATCAAAATGAACACAAAACAAAATGAACTTGGATTATATTCAAACTAAAGCGTATGCCACCAGTCCTGAAAATTTAGTTTGCCGTCTTTTCTACATGCGTTACTCATTTGATGTTTTGTATTGGGCATCTTTTTAAAAAATGTGCATATGAAACCTGTCATTTGCATTTCTCAAAGAAAGCAATTTACATTCATTACCGTACATACTTTTATTTTGTTTTTTAACTATAAAATACTTTATGTAGTGTTCACGTTGCGGTATTTTTCTTTATGAATTTTTGATTTACATTTATGTTTTGCATTTATGTAGTGACCTGCAATATAACCGTCTTTAGAAGATTTTATTGCCTTCGTTTTTTAATGGACCACCAACACAATGTTTGTTCTTATTATTTTCTTACCTTTAGCATGAAGAAATTTCAAATGATCCACGGTCATCTGAAGAATTTCTGCTTTTTCCAACTTTGCCGAACCCTGGTTAAGAATCATATATATATATTAGTATTTTTTATTCATAATAATTTTAAGTTTTTGTCTAACTCAAGATTATCGGTATAATTAATAAAAAGACAAAAACTAAAAAAAAAAAAAAAAAAAAAAAAAAAAAAACACCTTTAAGACTATAAAAATAATATAATTTATTGACGGGCTTTCGTTCACTTTAATAGACAGTCACTTGAAGTTCACTTTGTGAATGAAAGCTCGAGTTCAATAAATGGGAAGCACAATAAATTATATATTGTTAGTCTTCAAAGTACTGCCTATCTTTATATTACAGACTAAACGACTACTACCAGGATAATAAGAGGCCTACATTAACAAATGGGAGCCACCAATGTAATAGAAAAGTCCTTACAACTCTAGCCTATAGTGACTTAAAGTTTATAGAATAATTTGATCATATGCGTACAGGGTGGTATAACCTTGAAAGAAATCCAACTTACTTGCTTCTCAAATGCTGACGGAACCAGGCGACGAAGTTCGGATAGACTCGTGTTTATTCGGTCCCTCCTTCGTTTTTCAATTATCTACATAGTAACAAAAAAGAGTATTATTGTATTGTACATCTTAATTCCTACAGCATAAGTATATTTAGCTAATAAGGTAATAATGTGTGTCAATTTTGTTTATGGAAAAAAAATCCTTAAAATGGCTCTAAATACAATGCGTGATTCCTGGGTCTTTGTTTCCAGCGCCTGAAAAGGCGCCGTTGCTAGTTCTTTGTTGCAACTGTTAGCATTGTAGTGTTTAGTGTATCGCTTGGCCAACTGTTTGTTCACTACTAAATAGTAATAATCCTCGCTTCGATACGTCAAACTGATTCCCACGAGATGACGTAGCCCTGTTCGACATTACTATCATGTTTCGCTCAGAAAACCGTCCTATACATATTCCATTTTCCAGTTTATCCGACAGTTGGAAAACAATAATCGCCATATCGATTAAGCTCTTAAATTTTACGATATCAAAACAATTTTGCATCAAATTTTGTAACGAGATCGGCACCCTTTATCATAAAAATATCTCCTTTGGCTACCGGATACATTGTAAGTCAATTCATGTTCTTTAGAAGAATAAATATTTGTTGGATCGATATTATAATACCGTTGACAACAATGTCGAAGTTTATTATAATACTACCGACCAAGCCTTTCAATCGGGATTAATATTACAATATACATATTAACTGCTATTAACTATTAGTATCCCAAGCATGGATTATTGGGTTGAAGAAGGGCAATTACACACGTTCTCACGACCATTTCTTGTTCTTTTACCCTATTGTGTTCGCGAAAACACAATAATACTATTATAATCGTTTCAATTTCTCATACGAAGGAAGGTTTCTGTGGTTTATAATATTAACATTGTCATCTGCTATCATTGTTATACCCATGAGAAAATTTAACAATAGTGTAGCTAATGCATTTAATTTACAACTATCATTTATAATTCTTTTGTAATCATAGTCTTATAGTCCTTATATTTAACTTTAACAAAAATTAGACCGCTTGGCTGTATCATCTGAAGTAATTATATGAAACGATGTATCAAGATATAATCATGGAAAATTACCCGCCTAACTCTTCTGTAAGAATATTGTACCCAGATATTTAATAAATGAACTTTGCACTGGCACAGTCGAATACCTTCGATATAGGCCTATGATGTATATAATAAAAGTGCCTTACTCAGCTATGTCTCTAAGATATATTATATGTAATTGTATGTATATATATAAACAAATATATAAATAATTTATTTATTATGACTATATATATATATATATATATACCATATATATATATATACATATATATATATATATATATATATATAGAACTGGAGGGCATTAATGAACTACTTTAAGAATTTATGTTGCAAATTATGTTTTACAATTTACAGAAGCTATCAGGTATTTTTTGTGAAAGAATACCGTATTATAATGACGATCGATTTACAGTATTTCTTTCTTCAGGAAATTGTAACACTAAAGTAACATAGCATTTCATTTCTTATCAAATAGTCGAAAATTATTTTCAGATAATATGTCTACCGATTATTAGGCCTATCCTTTAATTTGGTAATCCTAAAAATGCCGATAAAACTTGTAATGGCCAATAAAGCGATCAAATAACCTACCAACTTCTGAAGGAAACCATTTCGAAACAATTATTTTTTACTATGAAACTCTTTAAACTTATTAATTGATACTATTCAAACTAAGAATTCCCATCGCGGCCCTTCCTTGTGTTTCAGCTAGGGCTAAAATACAAGTTACAATAGCGGACCGTCTTTCGGATGAGACTAAGCCGTTGGTCCCGTGTGCATTATGGCCCATGTGCACGTTAAAGAACGCAGTACACTCTTCGGAAAAGAGTAGGGGATAGTCTCCCGGTGTACTGCCCAATCACCACCAGAAGGACCCCACTGGAAATAAGTCTTCTTTTAGACTTCCGTGGGCTCTCCTTGATGTTTACACCGAATAAATCCAATCCAATCCAAAGGAAGGCTAACAACCATATTGAGTACGGTCAAAAATTAATTAATTCCCTTTCAAAGTGTAGGCTGACTATATTAATAGTAAAATAATATCAATACCGTATATCATTAAAACTTTAAAAAGTTATGAAAGTTAATTTCAAGTAACTCAGCTAATTATGCTTTTATGAGATACTAATGCTTGTGAAAGTCGGTATCGTTTTATTATGTGTGGTTATGATCCGTTATGAATATAGGCCCCTACATTCAGGCCTAATAATTCGAGTGAATCTGATCACTTTGAATATTCACCATTATGGAGCGAAGTCATTATAGTTTAATGTCTGGAAATCCAACAACGTATCTGAAAATCATCACTTAATCTATTGAATCTCAAATAGGTCATCAACCTTTTTGACAATAAAAAAAAAGACTAGAAAGAAAAGTTGATCGATTTTACATAGCCGTGACATCTGCTATCGTTTGTTTCTTAAAAGCGCTTAAAGTACCTAAAGAGACAATGTGATTGTTCAGCCCTCTACGGTGAGTGATGAGATTGATGTCATTGCTAATGTTTCTACACCACCATAGACTCATCATGCTAAACGATTTTAGGTCTTATGGATTGAGGAAAAAGTGGGGGTTTTTTTTTGTGAAATCTCAATTGCGTAAATTCCGACGACCGTCCAGGGATTCTGTTTTTGTTATTGATAATTGTATGATCTGGTGTGGTGACAGGATGCATTTTAATGTATTCAAAGTAAAAAGTCACAGACGTTCTAAATCCACATCCGGGTTAAACACAGATAGTTATTAATTAAGTTATCAGCTTAACTCCTTGAATCAACAGCTCATGTGAACCAGGCAGGTGGTATAGGCCTACTATTAGGCCTGCATGGACTGAATTTATGAATAACCGGCCTATTGCACTATATTATAGAACATGGTATCTTATTATACAGTGTTAGCCATGTGGCTGCCGTTCATAATAGGTCTAAGCATCAAATAGGTCTAAGTATTATAATAAATTGTCTTTGAAATATTAATTATTTAATTATTTCAATATTGATAGGTTCGCTAATATAAACATTAGCTATAGGCCAGGCTTTTTATTATTGAAATGCATCCCGTCACCACACCAGATCATACAATGAAAAATAACAAAACAGAGTCCCTGGACGGTCGTCGGAACTTGACTTGGGATATCTTTCTAGTTGAGAAGTATTCAATTGGTAGATCATGGGATGATGGGGCGCGAAGGTTAAGTTGAAGGGCGCGAAGATTAAGTTGAAAGGCTCGATGATAAGTGAAGAGAGAGCTAGGTAGCTAATAAGGTGATTCCTACCTAACTAGAGAGTACTTTTTTCCTTACAAAATTTCCAGTGGGTGTGAGAATTTTTGGGGGAAGGGGAACGTGCGCCCCCATTCACGTACTTTGTAGAATCATTACTGCTCAGTCACATGGCACGTGGCAATGAATTCAACACTTTTACATTGACACTTCTTAATTACCCCCTCTTCCTCATGTATGCAAAACAATTAAAAGATGGCTTACCCCTTCATCGATTCTTCGAACACATCGTCGTTATCTGACGATTCACTTAATCCTCTCTTCATTGCGATATTATGATTAACCATAGAGAATTGAAAAGCAAGCAGTCCAAGAAACTAAAACTAGAGAAAAAAAAGAACTTTGATTCAAAACCTAGGACACTTGTTGATTATTATCCAGCAATCAGAGATGTTGTCTGCATTGATTAAGACGATCGAATAAATCCGACTTACCGTATGTCGGTTATTTAAAGTTTTTAGAGTGAAAGAAAGTCAGACAGACAAACACAGGCGGATGATTGACGTGTGTGACAAACGATAGTTCACTTCGTCGGCTCGTGTCATTGGTCAATCGACAAGCAAGTGATCATTAATGGGGTGGTGAGACGTCCTTGTGTTTGGCCATTGGTCGCGTGTCTGTATAGTTTTTGGACGCCTCGATTTCAGATTTATGGAACTTTCTTAATGATTGTTGCATTAAAATTTCTTACTTGAATGAATTTTATATTAAATTGTTTTGTTATGAGTATCAAAAAGTTAATTTGATTCATTGTATGCTAACACATTAGCATTTACCAAAAATAATATATGTTTATAAAACTCAAATAATAATTTCTCGCCTATAGTTAAGAATGGAATATTCCATTTATGGACCCGTCGATACAACCACTTCTAAGGCTAATGAACGCACGGCAAACACGCGATCGTTCGTGGGAAAGTTTGCCGTTCAGCCGTTGATAAACAAGGCCTGAAGTTGATCTTCACGCTTCAGCGCCAGTGGTGAGGAACAAACCGTGTGAACGAAGTCGTTTACTTGATTTAGGTATCCCCATTATTAAGTCTTCCTTAAGTCTTCCTTAAATTTGTAGCTTTACATACAGGGTTGAACGATGGTGCTATCGATCAGCTGTTGTATTCTCTTTGACGTTCCTACACTGATAGGAATTATGTTATTTGAAACGACGCTTTAAAAACGACACACGCTCTTGCGGTGCATTCTTAAAAATAACATACATACAGTACAACATAAAACACTTAATACAATAAAATACGTTACAAAATTGCATGAATTGGATTATCACCTTTAGGTGATAAAGCCCGTAAACAAGTTTAGAATAGATCTGTCGTAAAATATTAAAAACGATACAGGTAAATAGGAAGAGATTAAATTGGATAACAGAATAAGAACGAGATTTCCAAACATATTTACATATAAACAATTTAAATAATGTCGTAAAATTATACTTAAAATAAATTGTGAATGCCTAAAATTCATGTAAGTAGCAAAGTAACTGAATTAAAATCATATAAAAGAAAACACACATGACTAAGATATATTATAAAAACCACAGCCACAACACAATTATGACAAAGTGATTTGTCTAATTTTTTGCACATGCACATTGCACATTTAATAGTTTCAAATATGGAGCTGACGACGTCAGATCCAAAACAGTCAGAGGAAAATTAATAATAATAATAATAATAATAATAATAATAATAATAATAATAATAATAATAATAATAATAATAATAACAATAATAATAATGCATATATATAATATATATATATATATAATATATATATATATATAAAATATATATATATGACATACGTAGGCCTGGCCTTTTGTGTACGGTACAATGTATAAGCCTATGTATATGCGTATTAAAAAGAAGGCAAAAATATATAGGCCTAGGCCTATAAAAACGGAACATGTTGACACTACATGTTAAAAATCTCAAAGTTCTATGATAACTATTAGAGATATTAGTTAGCCATCACGATTTTCCTTTTAAAGAAAAATGATTTAAGGCACATAAATATGTGATTTTTATCTTTTCAAATACTCACCTCGGATATTTTATAATACTACATAGGCCTAAGACTTATTAAAATTGTATGTAATGATGAAATATGAGAAGAAATCTAAGTAGGGTAGGGGCCTAAACATACAAAAGAAAAAAAAATATAGACCTGTATATTATACTGTGCTGTTATTTAAGGTCTCGTGCTCTTAAACGAAAACTTTCAAATGAAGACCATTTAAAATGTTTTAAGTTAAGTCTTGAAGCTTAAATAGACGGATTTTAATGTAGTAGACCTAATTTCGCTCATAACACATTATTCTATTTTGGGCCTATTAATTTGGATAGACCTATATTGAATTAATTGCCTAATTAATTACTTTAAAACAGTTACAATTAATCTACTGCTTATTAAGTTTTTTTCAAGTCTATATCGAATTTCATGTCACATTTTCCAACGGTCCGAGTGGGTCAAACCGGAAACAAATCAGGGTTTGAACAATAAACGGCATCGATTACTTCTAAATTTCATAAAGGTTAAAAATTACATCAATGAACTTTATCGATTCGTTTTAAACACACAACGTCAAAATCATCTCATGTCATTAGACACGCAGCAAGGCGTGAGATCTGCAAACAAAAAGCTGTTTGTTTGCGTTTAGTTGCAGAACAATTAATATGAAATAATGTTAAAATGGTGCGAGCGTGTAGCACGTGACGAGCTGAGATTGCAATCCAATACGTCTTAGCTAATACTGTACTATCTTTTGTAAAGAATCATAGGCCTACGTATGCACACCCGCTGAAGTATGCGTTCCTTTTACATCATGCAGACCTGCATCTATCTTAAGATGTTTAATAAGCTAAATATTGATTAAATAATTCACAGTGTATGCTTACATGTTAACAGATTATGTGTCTATTAATACTGTATACTAAATCTAGACAGTATTATGTTATCGGACTAGTTGATTTGTGTCATCAAATCATTACTACATTAATATGTTTAATACATAATAATTAGGCTGTATTGGGGTCAGTTATTGAACTTTGATTCCACAACATAACGACATAACTTGGCCTTTCCGTTTGGCAACCGGATCAAACTATTCTTTGATGCCTGTAGTAAAGTCACCGTCATTTCACGTTTAACACTATTGTATGATTGTATGATGCCAGTTGCATATTATTATGTGATTTGATATTACAGAAATCTGAATAAACATTGCAAGACAGACAGTTCGAACCACCTTCGTTACCTATCTGTAATGACTTGTCGCCTTGGGACTAGACAAGACTTCGGGCCAAGCATTTGCAACTTCCAAAAATAAATCCACAAACAAGTATTCGTATTCCTTCAAGAAATGTAGGCATAAAAGAGCAGGGGAGATGCCTATTAAGAACTAGCTAGCGGGGTTCCCACGATTTTGTATGTTTGCTCGCTTTCAGCTGGTTATTATGGGCCTGACCGAATAACCTTAAACAAAAGACAACGCAAAACAAAAGCAACACCATCAGAAGATCCATCAGTAGTGAGATGTGATTTATAGAATAAACTATTTTATGCACCGGCCAGCTTCAGTGTTTATTTAGGTGACAAATTAATGATAACGCCACGGAGGTAAAAAAGGGGGGCACGTGACCAAATAGTGTGAACAGAGTTCTTCGTTGAATTTACGTTAATATTCAATGTGTTTGAATTTATAAATATATATATATATATATATATATACATATATACATATACATATATACATATATACATATATACATATATACATATACATTTATATATATATATATCCAATATAATATATATTATACATATATTATATGTATATTCATTAGTGGACCTTTCCAGCAATGCTCAGCACGAACTTTAAGCTGATGACCTGTTGAAAACGCAGATGCGCGTCATCATTTTTTTCATGGACAGATCGTAATATTGGTTGCTATGACAACTACTGCAAAGATTGGAATAGGCTACCTTGAGATTTCTATAGAGAATAATACTGTAGTCTTCTTTCACACTTGTGACTCACACAATAATAACATAAATACAAAAGCAATAATAATAATAATAATAATAATAGTAAACGAACTGATGATGATGATGATCATGATAATATAATGATGATGATGATGGTGATAATAATAATAATAGTTATAATCATAATAACAATATAATAATTATGTTTATTATTGTTATTGTAAATACTAGTACAGTATATTAATATTTTTTCTCCTTATCCAATTAAGAAACTATTGATATATTGTTTGTGTCCGATCTAAAAATTAACAGCTGCATGAACGATACTCAAATCCGCATCTAGATAGCTGGACACATTCGCCATGATCGGATCGGGATTTTTAGATAAAAAAATGTGTCAGTCAATGATATTACGTTTTAAGACTGATGTTGGATCATGTGCGGCTTTTTTATGGATATCGTTAGTGATTTTATTTTGCGTGTGTTGTTGATTGTAACATTAACATATTATACAATAAGCAGTTCTTGTTGGTTGTGCAACATTCTAATTAGGCCTATATTTGAATGTGTGTTGATGAAAAAGACTTGAAAATTCAGTAATAAGTAAAATGTGTGGCAACATTTTAAGAAATTTAATATTGTTGTTTTTTGTTTCTTGTTTTTTGTTTTTTGTTTGTTTGTCTTATTTTATTATATTTGTTTTTGTTTTACTGTTGGTTTTGGTTTTGTTTGGTTTTGTTCTGTTTTTTGTTTTTTGTTTGTTTGTCTTATTTTATTATATTTATTTTTGTTTTGTTTTGTTTTTGTTTTACTGTTGGTTTTGGTTTTGTTTTGTTTTGTTCTGTTTTTTTTTTGTTTCTGTTTAGTTTTTGCTTTTGCATTTGTGTTGGTTTTAAATAAATTGTATTTGTATTATTAAGCCAAACAAACAGTAACGGCCTTATTTTACAGGCCTGAGATTGATAAAGTATAAACATAATATGTCCATGGAGTAAATTACATCTGGTTTTTGATAATTTACATTAAAATAGAAAATAAATTATGAGCATATAGCCAACAGTTGGATGAATCAACAATTAACATTTTAGAGACGAAAATTTAATTTGCAACAGTTGTTATCTTTAATTGTCTTTAGTAACCAACTAAACGTGTACGTCGCGGTCTGTATCAAACCCTCTCCCTCGCTTTATTTTAACTCTCTCTTGGGAATCAATGAGGATTTACCAGTTGACAAAACTTCGTCAGAATATCGGTCAATTGTCTCTGGGTCCAGCTCACAGAATTGTAAATCCGTTGAAGATGATAAGTTAGCTAAAGCCTAACGAAACCCTAGATTTCGTTACAATCGAAGAGACCACAGCAGTGGCACACATTTATCGTGAACCCGCTTTTTTGGAGCGTAAGTATAAGCCGGTTTAATGAGCCTGGACAAC